ATAATCCTTGCAGGAATTATTATATATCATAATTCCTGCCATTTATTATCCTTTATTATCTCCTGGGCACTCAAAAAAACCATGTTTACAGGACCCAGTTTGTCAAGAAAACCCCTGTTTCCCAGGTCTTGACTCCAGAGGGCACCTCCAACACCCCTGCTTGCAGGCCCCTCTGTGTTTTTCCTACTTTTTGTCTATTCTTGACACTTTTCTTATTATAAAAATACCCAAAACCCCTCTAAAAATTATAAAAATGTCCTAAAACTCAAAATAATATATTTTATTCTTTTTCTACAAATTTTTGTGGCCCTTGTAGCCAGAGGAATACTATTCCTGGCATCAAGGTAGCTCACATTTTGATCAAAGCTTGGTTGAATCACTTTTGGAAAAAGGTTGGAGTAATGACAGAATATTCCTGGGAGTTTCTGCATGTCAACTGTAGACAGTTGAGCAAGTTTTTTTTTGCAGTGCAGGGGATAATTTTTGGCACTTGAAAAGCGCAAGTACCATAAAAAGTGTTGAATTTCTGTGAAACTTATTAATTTTCCAAAGGCCTACTAAACAGGGGTGGTTTGGATCCCTCTAAAGGTGTCTTGCCACCAGTGCAGATGAATTAGCCACCTTTGGACAAAGAAACTGGGGCCTTTTGGACAGGGGTGGTTTTGATACCAGTAGAAGAGAAAATGTGGAGATTTCAGAGAAGTGTTATTGGCTCACTAGTAAAGGGACTTCTCCAAAGGCTCCGAAGGGTTGAAAAGTGTTTCAGGGGATATTCAGACAAGTAGAAATAAGTGCCATGGAGGATTCCTCCCTGGTAAAATTTTACTGCGGAGGAATCCTCCCTGGCACAGCTTTGCTGAAATTTGTTGGTCTTCCCAGACTTAGGAAATGGGTCTCATTGGCTGAGTTAAATCCAATGAATTGAATTTCATTGGTTGAGCAAGAACCTATGAAATCAATTGCATTGGGTTCCTGCCAGCCAATGAAAACTATTTCATCAGTTTGGGGTGCCTGTTGACTTGAGGCTAATTTGCCTATGCAGGCAGTTGATAGGATTGGTTGAGATAAACTATACTTATCACAAATACAAGAAGACCTGGGAATTGTGTTTCATTTTGTCTCATCATCTCATGTTGATGGCTAGCTGGTTGAGTGAATCCCACTAAATCCACTGTTTATGTAGGAAGAGCTCAACCACCAAGTTTTAGGGTTGCTAGTGGTGTGCATGGTATTGACATTTTCGTGAATGTATGATTCTACCGATCATCAGTTTTTGATGATGATGGTATCTCCATCAAGTACCCAGATTTGGTCCTCCCGCAACTGCTGCAGCCAGTGGAAGACGCCATATGACACCCATTTTGAAGCTGTGTGTGTGCAGAAGAGATGGTTTGTTTCTGGTGATATTGCATAATTGGCTGATATTTATTTTGCATAAATCCATACCACTTCCCACCAGATCAAATTTTCTTTCCACCGTGTCGCTCATTCTCCCTCTTCTTTCTCGTCTTATTCCTCCCAAAAGATTTCCAAAATGCTCCCCATATCCCGTCGATCGATCATCACCCATTCGCTCAAGCCATCATCCTTTTCCAGATTACTATCCTCCCTGCCCTCCTCCCCATCCCCCTCTCGTCCCTCCGTCGCTTTCTCCGCGATTTCTTTATCCTCTTCCAAGCTCCCCATCCTCTCAAAACCTCAACAATCACCCATATCATTCTCGGCTAAGTATGGTCAGTATTCTCTTCGCTCTTTTCTGTTCAAGACGAAATCCTCAACTTCATTTCTGTTAACTGACTAATCACAATTTTATCAGCTTTCTCCGTCTCAGCAAGGGATCTTAATTCTACCGCTGCGTTGAGAGCGAGGACGGACGTCGATGCAAGTCCCCAAGATGAACTCGAAGACGCCTCCGATAAGCCCACCACCCAAGCCTTCTCCACTATCGAATCCTATATATCCCCAGCACTCTACCGAGCCGTCACCCAATCTCCATTTGGTTATTCTCACATGTCCGCCGTGCAAGATCAACTTCTGAGTGATCTCCCCAATCTGATTCAAAAAACCGAGGATGGCGAGACCAAGACAAAGGATTTATTGGTCAAGGCTAAAACTGGAACAGGGAAGACCCTTGCCTTCCTAATCCCCGCCATAGAATCTCGTCTCCGGGACCTCGAGGAGGAGAAGGAACGATTTAAGGCCCACAACCCAGACGCGAGTCACCAGCATCTTATTCAACACATGAGACGATATGAGGCCGAGACAACCGGAATCGTGGTTTTGTCACCCACCCGTGAACTAGCCACACAGATTGCTCAGGAAGCTATCAAGTTAACCTCACACGTCAAGCAGTTCGGAGTTCGATTGTTTGTCGGAGGGGCCAGCAAAGCCTTACAACTTCGTGAATTTGAGCGTGGCCGCCGTGATATCGTGGTTGCCACTCCAGGAAGACTGAATGATGTTTTGAACACGAGCCCCGCCGTCCGTCAGAACCTTAGTACTGCCAAAACTCTGATTATGGATGAAGCAGACACACTGCTAGAGATGGGGTTCAAGGAGGAGATCGATGAGATTGTCCGACAATTGCCTCCCAAAGAAGAACGATCAACCTACTTGTTTTCCGCTACCATCTCTCCCGAAATTCACCGGATTGCCCAACAAACCATGAAGAGAGATACCAAAATTGTGGACTGTGTCCCCTCTGGGGAAAGCAACGTCCATGCCCATGTTCCACAATACTATACCATCTTACCCAACCCAGATCAACAAATCAAACACATCTTCAACCTTCTCGCTCACGATCAGCTAACAAATCCCTCCGGTAAAACCGTCATCTTCTTACCTACCACCAGGATGACTCAGTTGTTCAGCCAAATGATCTCCTGCTTTAGACGTCACCTACCGTGGAATTCCGCTGGCCTAATGAAAGTCTACGAAATGCACGGTGGGAGGACACAAAAAGAAAGGGAGAACATCGCTAAAGACTTCCGAGCGGGCTCAGGTGGTGGTTACCAAGTCTTGGTCACTTCTGATGTCTCTGCTAGAGGTGCGTCATTTCATGGCGACTTGATTCACAGTCTTTTATTACCAGAAAGCTAACCTCATTTGTTTTCTACCATCAATAGGAGTTGACTACCCTGGAGTAACACGAGTCATTCAAATTGGGGTACCTACGACTCGAGACATCTACGTCCACCGAGTGGGCCGGACTGGGCGAGCTGGAAAAGCGGGGCGAGGAGACTTGATCCTGTTGCCCTTTGAAGCCAACTACATTCCGACCACGCTACGAGAGATCCCAATCAAGCCTTTGCCGGTCTCTGCTCTGAACGACGAGTTGACCCAAATGATTCGCAAGATTGATGAGGATGGACAAGCGCACGCGCCGACGATCATGCAACAAATTGGCCAACAAAGGTCGTCGCTGAACAATCGGAACTCGCGATCCTCCAGCCAAAGATCGGGCTCCCGGGAGGGTGATTCCCGAACAACCACCCAGGAGGTCCAGATGCAATTGCCACTTTCGAGCCGAGTTGAATCGTTCGACGCAAACCTCAAGGAGAATATCATCCCATCGATCGGCGAGGAAGCGATCCGCGAGTCCTTCGGCTCGCTGCTGGGTTACTACGGCTCAAAGGCCTCGGACATCCGGACGACCAAGGAGTCGATCTTGACCGGTCTGAAGCAGTGGGCGGTCTCGGCGATGCTGTTGCCGGAGGAGCCGTATGTCTCGCCAGCATTCTTGCAAAAGTTGGGATTCAACAACGATCGGGGGATGTCTCGATTTGGGGGGCGTGGCGGAAACTCGCGTGGCGGCAACCGCTGGGAAGGACGTGGCAGCGGAGGTGGCGGCAACAGCTGGGGCCGTGGTGCAGGAGGAGGGGGCAATACTTGGGGCCGTGGTGAGCACAAACCTGCAGGCGGAGGCGGCTACTCGCAAGGTCGAGCCGGAGGCGGCGGAGGCTACTCGCAGGGTCGTGCCGGGGGCAGAGAGAGCACGCCCTTCAACAGTCGCGGCCCATCTCAATTCGGCGGTCAATCCTTCAGAGGTGGTGCCGGTCGCTCCAGTGGTGGCGCCGGATTCGAGCGTAGCTCCGAACGCAACTTCAGGCCTCGTGATTGAACTCTTTCCCCTTGCTTTTGTCAGACACCTTCCTATCCAATGCTACTTTCAGCTGTCATCTAGAAATTTATATCTCCACACACATTAAAGGAATTCAAAAAAAAAAAAAAAACAGAAAAAAGTAAATACATACATAAATATTCAATATTGAAGATGCATCATCTCCCCCACTGATAGTTTGATGAAACTACATGCTTACTTAATCAGCCCCATTTCCATTCACGTCTCTTTTTCAATCAATTGGTGTTTGTTTTCCATATCATATATGTTTGTTTTAGAAAGAATGGGTTTGTTTGGTTTTCTGCTTTTTTTTATGCTCTGATTGCCTTCTTATTAAGCTACCACTGCAAAAAAAAACTTGCTCAACTGCCTGCAGTTGACATGCTGAAAGTACCAGGAAGCTTCTGTTGTTACTCCAAGCATTCTCCAACAGTGATTCAACCAAGCTTGGATGCACAGTCACTGTGCCAACTGCACAATGACATATGCAAACATATGGAGTTTGGATGGCAGCTTGGCCGGAGCATGCTGCATGTCAACTGCAGGCAGTTGAGCAAGTTTTTTTTTGGAGTGCAGGGGACTGAAACTCAGAGTGATAATTGTGCTCACAGACGAGATGATAAGTGAGAAATAGAGTCAAGATTTCATGTGGAGACAAATACAAATCAGAGCAACAGTTGTAGCTGATAGTCTTAGTAGAGGCATAACTTTCCTTGAAGATATAAGTACTACATCTATGTAGGGTAGATTAAGCCCATCTGGGCACCTTGCCAAGGTTGGCAGAATGTTGCCCAAGCGCAATTGGCACGCACCCAAGAGCACTTAGCACACACCCGAGTTTACTTGACACAGAGCCAAGTGCACTTGGCAATGACCCAACCCCTGCTTGGCACACACCAATGTTTAGCTGGGCCAGGCCCAACCTCTGCATCGCCAAGGCCATGTGAGGTTGCCATCCCTCCCAATATCAATCAATGAATTCTTGTTTCACCTGGTTAAGAGGTGCATTCAAAAAAAAAAAAAAAATGAAACAAAAAATTCTCACTGAGAATCTAAAAATACAACCATATTTTTTTCTCTTTGAATATTTTCTTTATTTTCTTTTTGTTTTGTTTTGTAATTTATTTATTTATTTTGCACAGAAGACCAAAATAAGATAGATAGAATGAGTTGATAAAAGAAACAAATTGTTTTTTTTTTATATGACTGTTCCATATGTGAGAAGGGGAGGCTAAGAGAGGCGCAGTAATCATGTTGCATCTCAGAACAGGGTGGATACAGGTGTTGACAATGATCCAAAAAGTGTTTCATTTTTTTTTGGGGGTGTTATAGTGGAGGTAATTGCATTGTTTATTTATTTTATTTCTGAAACAAGAACTGTCCAATTGGGATGCTCATTTGATTGCATGTAAGGTATTTCAAGTGGGTCTGGACCCATGCCCAAGACATAAGACAATAAAGCCAAGCTAAAAGCCTGCATGAAAAAGCTTTAGCTTGGCCAAAGCCAATCAAGTGTACCATGCCTGCCTGTAAAAGCCAACAAACCCTTGGGTGAGGGGCTCCTGAATGTTTTTTTTTTTTCTTTCTTTCTTTCTTGTTTCTTTTACTTTACATTTTTTTTTTCTTACACTGATAGTACATACAAAATATGATTGATGTTTTTACATTTTTAACTTGTTTTTTGTTTTTTTCTTTTGTTGTTGATAGAAACAGAACAGACAAATAAAGTGACTTAGGAGAGGCGAAAAGTGGCGCAGTGCAGCCTGACTGTTTGTGTAAAAAACATCAATCTCGCCTGTGCGGCGCTGACAGGCAGACAACCTCAGGACGAGAGATCAGATGAGATGCCTGAACCTGGTTGAAGAGGATGGAGGAGACA